TAAAAAAAGTGATCTTAGATTATGGTTTACCACATAATCATACTAATTTTATAAATGCCAAAGTTTAGATTTATGGATGGATGGATGGATGGATGGATGGATGGATGGATGGATGGATGGATAGATGGATGGATGGATGGATGGATGGATGGATGTTTGACAGAGTTTGTAGCTTAAACGGCTGAACGGATATCGTAGAAATTTGGTATAGATGTAGAGAATAGTTTGGAAGAACTCATAGGCTACTTACTTTTGTTTTTTTTTAATTCCACGCGGACGGAATCGCGGGCAAAAGCTAGTTGTTGATATTTATGACAAGTTTATCCCATATAACATGATTTAATCAACTTAACCTGTAATATGGAACATTTTTAGTACAACATTAATTACTCTATATGATATCTTATATTCGTATAGTAAGTTATAAAATTGATCTCTTCTAGCCGGAATATTGGAATATTTAGTAGTTATTAACTCTTAAATGCACGATTTTTTCTTTTTAAATACCATAAATTGGAACTGGCAGTAAATTGAACATAGATTAAGGGTAGAATAAAGAAAAAAAATGTTTTTTTCTAGATGACCAATTAGATAAAGAAGTAAAGACTGATGTATAAATACATCACCATGCTTTTAAGGGTTAAGGAGGCAAGCTTATGAATTATTAAACATTACTTAAGATGTGAAATAGCAAAGATTGTGTTAATTTAATATAGAAGCGACAATAGCCTAATGGTTAAGGGTACGGATTTAAAACGTAGTCCTGGGTTCGAATTCTACCATATTAGTTTCGTCAGCAATTACTTACACTAGCGTCAAGCTTAGTATTAGTAGATTAACAAAAATCAGGTAATATTTTTAAGTAAAAACTCATATAGAGATAAAGATCTAAATAATTTAATTCTGAAGTTCTTATCTTTACTAATATTATTAAGAGTAAAGATTTGTATTTTTATATGTATTGAAATAAATCAAAAACTATTTGTTTTTTTTTCAAATTTAGTAGCTTTTTGTTAATTTACTAATACTTTAACCATTCCAACTAAGCTCTAGGCTTGTGCTAGGATATAGTTCACGGCAATAGTCGAATGGCGGGATTCGAACCCTCGACCGCAAGATCAGTAGTCCGTACCTCAAACCATTAGGCTATTGGCGCTTCATTTCAAACATCTTTTTGAACATCGACTCCATTAAAAAGTTACGTTATCAGTGAATAGTATAGGCTATTTTTTTTTATTACTTGAGACTAAATCGCGAGCAACAGCTAGGTAGTAAGAAGTAAAACTTTTCGTAACGCTATATTAAGTTATAGACTACAATGTACTGGGAAAAGAGCGAACATAGACAATTTCCGGCTTCCAATTCGAATAACAAAGAGTTATTTCTCAAACGAAATAATAAAACATCGACATTTTGTATTCATAGTTCTGAAACATTCAACAGTTTGTTACATCAGAAAAGGAAATTAGACTTTGGTGGTTTTTGTTTTTATATTTTTGATTTAATTTATATTTTAACTAGCTTTCGCTCGCGACGTGGATTGGAAAAACCAAAAGTAGGTAGCCTATGTGTTCTTTCAGATTATGCTCTACATCTATGCCAAATTTCATCGAAATCCGTTCATCAGTTTAGGCAACAAACTCTTACAGACATCCGTCTAAACTATCGCATTTATAAAATTAGTAAGAAGATAAAGAGACTTACGGCCGAATATTGATACGACATTCAAATGTGTATCAGCGCCTTTAATGATAAAGCCACAATTCAATTCGTTTAAATTTTTTCGTCTGTCAGATTGTAAGCGACGTATCCGAAATATTAAAGATTTGTTCCAGTAATCGGTCGTTAGTCGTCGACATTTTTTGATTTGCAAATAAACATTTTTTTTTAATCTATGAACACACCAATAAAACACGACTGGGGGTAAACTTATTTAATACCCATCGTTTCAAAGATTAATCCATTTAATTATTGCGCAGTCATTCTGTTGATATAATTAGTATGCAAAGTCACGGTATCCAGTGCGTAAAAATTAAAAATATATAGTTATTTATGTGTAACATTTAAAAACCGAAAATGATTTACATTATTTACTTTTACGCTTTTTATTCAGTCTTTTATAATCTGCTGATTATACGCGGTGTTGGAGATTAAAATAAAAAAAAATAAGTTTCCTAAAGCCGAGCTCAACACAAGCGGGAATAACTGCGCAGTTGAATCTATTCATCGAATGCACTTAAAACCTTGTATTTTTTAAAATAAAAGGAAGGAATTATTTAAAATGAGAAAAGTTTTAAATCTAAAAATAATATTTCAATCGGAAAAACAGAATGCCATTAAAAGCTGACTTCATTCGAGTCATGTTTTAACGTCGAAGTCAAAACAGCTTTTAAGGAATATAAGGCGTGTTTATTTTCGTAAT